GGGGGGGGGGGGGGGGGGGGGCAAATTTTGAATAGTGTCCTTTACCAAATTGTGTTCGCTTTAAGTAAAAATTGCAGAAATCACTTCGAACTATTTTTTCGGACCCCCAAATACGTCAATTCAAAGGTCATTCAATTTTCCCGCGAAATAAGCAAATTTACCCTAGATTTGCCTCCACATTATCTCAGTAAGGCCAAAATCAGTTCAACAATACGTTGGCAAGTCCCTAAATTTCGGGAAAAGTTAAAAAAAAAACGAAATTTAAACGGTCAGATTTAATCACCTTAAATTAGTTTTTTTTTAAAACTTTTCTCGAAATTTGGGGACTTGTCAACGAAATGTTGAACTGATTTTGACCTTACTGAGATAATTTGGAGGCAAATCTAGAGTATATTCGCTTATTTCGCGGGAAAATTGAATGATCTTGAAATTGACGTATTTGGGGGTCCGAAGCCCCCTTTAAATTAGTTGGATGTACTTTCTGTGATTTTTACTTAAAAGTGCTTACAATTTAATTAAGTTTCCCGTTTTATTTTTTCTCTACGATAATTTGAACCGGAGTTATGATTTTTTGCAAATAGGTCAAATTTGACCTTTGACCTATCATAACTCGGTCAAAAATTAAGATATTGATCTGCGGTTTGCGCCAAAATTCTTAGTTTTTTATGCTCTTACAAATGAGGTGTCACAAGATAGGGGTTGCCATTTGAAAAAAAAAGTTGGGAGCCCCCGTCGCCCCCTGAGGGGGGGCCAAAATTTTGACCCCCCGCCCCCAAAGATGGCCCTCTTAGAGATAGGAACATTCCCAAAGTTTCATTTCCCTCAGTTCGTTCAAAAGTTAGCAGGGGTGGGACGGACTTTTGTTACACCCTGTATACCTATGGCCCACCGAGAGGGGTTGTCTCTGGAGATAGAAGCAATAGATATTCATCGTGGCGCTCACGTAATAACCTGGTCGTTATTCTGTCTGTTCCCTGTACATCTCACTCAACACTTACCTTTAAAACAAGTTTAGTGGTCGAGTCCTGTAGAGAGATTTTTCCTTTTCGGCGCACAAAATTTAACACAAATTAGGTTGATTTTTTAACCTCGAAGGTCCCGTGTAGAAATAATTCTCCAATAGCGTCTACACAAGGCACACGTTGTCCAATTCTGCTGTTCGGGAAGCTTACACCATCTGCAAGTTTGCCCCTTAAAATCAGCACACTGAGATGATTTAAATGAGCTAGGCGTTTATGCCACAGGAGGCTCACCAGCACAAAGGAACGTCGAGTTTGTAAAGACTATCAATTCTCATTCTAGTTCCAGCTAGAGCACCTTCAACATAAAAAATTGTCGCTTGCGAGAATTTTGCAACCTTTGAAGTCGAAGATACTAGCACTTAATCGTTGTCAGTCAATTTACTGACGGACAACAAATTGTCTCAAAGGTTTGGGACGTACCTACGTGATATTAGGTGATTATTGAACGTTGACCAAATTGCTCAGAATCAATTATAGCAACTCCACAACCAGCAAAAGCTATTTCATCACTATTTTCTACAGTGACGATTTTGACTTCTTCCTCTTCACTAAAGGTAGAGAGAGGATGCCTATTTTTGGTTAAATAGCAGTCACTTAAGAATTTATATACCAACATTGTGGTTCTATTTTAACTTTCAAAGCTGTTAGCCATGAAATGACTTTAGTTTTGACTTTGATTGTTTCTAATGACTTTGATTTGTTTTTAATGTTGACGCAACATCCCCTTTCAAAATTGCTAAATTATTGAAGATGATTAGGAAGTATCGAAATAAATTCTTTTTCTGAGTGAAATGATTCAGGTTCGGATGGGTGTTAGGTAGCTGGAAGTTGGATACCTAGTTCCTTAGTACCATCAGATTCCTATTTTTGAAAAATCTGCTACTTGGGTGGTTCGTGATTTTTCAATCGAAATATTACTTTTTGAAAATGAGCAAAAACGAATAAAGAAGGGTGCAGCAAAGCAGCGGTGCCCGACGCGCGCCTTGAGTCTAGACGATGAGCAATCACGTGTTGCAACGCCTTGCCCTATGCCGCACTGCCCTACGCGCGCCCGCAATTCGGGAGATAGGCAAAACTGAGTGGTAGCTATTTGTCCGGCTTTTCACAGAGTGTGGTGCCACGCGCTGTGGCAATACCTCCTGGCGCAGTCTCGCGATATTTTCGATGAGCTCATGTGAGGCGTAACACTCGAAAGTTTTATCATAGACTGGAGGCCCCTTTTTGGCAGAGGTACATGAAAAATCAATTAACTTTTAAGTCAAAGGTCAAAGCTGTATTTTTTGAACTTGTACTTTTGTAAAACACCCAAACGTGAGTCTCACATTCCGTCGTGCCC